GATGTAACAATAGAAGCTAGGGCCGCCCTTTTCACCTCCATATATTTAGCTTCTGCACCTTGCAACAATCTGATCACATAATACATCAGTCGCTGCTGACCCTCTCTTTTTTTCAACAATACTGAGCTAATTGCTACCTTTCATACTAATAAGTATAAGATCAACACATCCGCTGGTTCCCGCTTGGTGAGTAATGGTAGCTTGGCCTAGAATTCTTTCAGTCTAACAAAGGCCTCTTACGCTTGTATGGACCACTAGAGCCTAGACTCCATTCGAAGAGCTAAAAAAATAAAGAAAACTCCAATCGGCTGCATGAGTTATAAAACGACTCAATTCTGCTAGGCGACCAGTTAAGACTTGTGCCTCATTAATGCTCCGAGGCGATTGCATTTTTGACACCGCCCTGACCTTCTCTGAGTTGACCTCAACGCCCCGCTCCGTGATCATGTAACCAAGGAACCTCCCCGACTTCACCCCAAATTTACACTTTACAGGATTAAGCTTCATCATGTACAGTCTCAACGTATCAAAGGTCTCTCTTACTCTTGACCAACATGTCGTCTATGTAGATCTCCATTTTTCGCCCTAGTTGATCCTCGAACATCTTGTCCACCAATCTCTGGTAGGTTGCCCCAACATTCTTGAGTCCAAATGGCATGACTACGTAACAATAAGTCCCTTTCGAGGTGATATAACTCACCCGTTTTTATCCTCCACAACTAGGGGTATTTGGTGATATCGTTGTGAGGCATCCATCATACTCAAGAGCTCACACCCTGCCGTCGAATCTACTAGCTGGTCAATACATGACAACAGATAATGGTCATTCGGGCAAGCTTTGTTGAGGTCCCTGAAATCCGTACACATGCGCCATTTGTCCTCTGCTTTTTTACCATGACCTGATTTGACAGTCATTCTGGAAATTGGATAGGTCTGATGTGACATGCTTGCAACAGCTTCTCAACCTTCTCCTCAATCAAAGCATCTAGATCAGTACCAAAATGTCGCCTCTTCTGCTTAACTAACCTGATCTTGGTGTCTAATTTAGCTTATGCTAGGCCACCTTAGGATCAATGTCCACGAGCTCCTCTAGAGAAAACATAAAAACATCAACATACTCTCGTAACAAGCCTACCAAATCAGCTTTACTATTCTCTGTCAATGACTTTCCAACTTTAGTAACCTTTCCTGGCTCTCCTTTGACTAGCTCGATTTCCATGAGCTCTTCATGTGGGATCGTCTATGTCTGAGCCTCCTTTCTTACACCCGAGCTTTCCCCTTGGCTCTTTCTATTATTCCCCACCTGCAGAATTGTCTGGTAACACGTCCTAGCTGATCTCTGATCCCCCGAATTTCATTTTCATGCAATATGTCGATATTGTTGCCTAGAAAGAGTTCAAGCTCGGTCAACCCAGAATAACATTGTAAACTGATTTCGCCTTCACTATTAAGAGTCGCACTATCTTCACCTTGTTTGGAGGATGAGCTCACAAAGCCACAAGCAACTGGACCTCCCCCAAGGGGACCACCTCCGTCCCACTGAATCCAAACAAAGAAGTCTGAACAAGCTTTATCTCCACATCAAAGTCCATCTACCTGAAACACACAAAGAACATAATGCACAATAATTCTATAACGAGTGCACATTAATTCGTTCGAGAATGCACATTAGGTTGATATAGGGCAAGTCACTAAAAAATACATACAATGCGATTGCAAAGTAATGTTAGACAAGATGCACATTAATGACGTTCGGATTGCACAAAAGTCGAATTTCACATTATTAATTGAAATCTATCGAATTAAAATTTTCGATTCGAAATCTTATATTTCCGCTCAATTATCTATTTTTACTTTTAAAATCATGGTCATTTTATTTTGATATCGGGATTTCCTTATGAAAAAATATTATTTTTTATTTATATTCCATGTATTGTGAGTCCGTATTATGGTTATATGGATTGCTAATTAATGGCTATCAGATTGCATAGTAATGATTGCGCAAATGCACTAAAGAAAAAATATGATTATATCAATTCACCAACCGACGAACAACACTAACCGAGGTGGCATTTAGGTAAATTTATGAACCTTTATCTATACAGACGGAGGAGAATTTGCAATTTTGTAAGAATACGAAGTGTTTTTGTATGTGCATTTTATCACACAATGTTGTGCATTTTATATATCATTAATGTGCATTTATTGAATTTTAAATAAATTACAAAAGTGCCTCACATATTAAAGTGCAGTATTATAAGAGTTATTAAATTGCAACCAAGTCCTTATTACTTGTCTAATTTCCAAAAATAAGCCCCCCATTAAAAAAAATCAAACAAAGAAAACAAAAAAGTTCACTCTCTCTTCAATCCTTTCACACCCACCGTCCAGCCACTCGCCGTCCGCCGCTCGTGTCCCGACGTCAGCCATCCGACACCGTCGGAGTCCAGCCGTCAGTCACCCGACGTCACCCGCGTCCCAGTCATCTCCCCCATCTCTGTGCAGTCGTCGCCGTCGCCTGTCGTCGAAAATCACTTGCTTGCTACTACTAGCGGAGCTCCTCGCGGCTGCGACTTCGCCGACGCCGGGACCTACGCATGCAACAATGTGTGTTTGTTAATTTATCATAACGAAAATGATGCCGGCGACTGGTTATGGTGTTGGCGACTGGAGGCACAACGACGTTCGAGGTGGCCGACGGCTCAATGTGTGTTTGTGTTTGTCATGAATATGTGCAGAGAGAGGGAGAGGTATATTTACTGTGTGTTTTGGTGTGAATGTGTGTGTGTGTGTGTGAGAGAGAGAGAGAGAGAGAGAGAGAAATTAGGGATGGTGGTTTGTGGTGGGTCCCACATTATGAGTTGGAGAGAGTTATAATGACTAAAATACCTTTAATATTTGTTAAAATATACACATTTAACCATAATGTGTATGTTAATTTATCATATTGCCGTAAATGATTGACCATTGTTTGACTTGATCATGACCATTGATATATTAGATCCATGGTTCATAATCATTCTTATTTCTTTTACTATCTTTCTTTCTCATTTGATCTCAATTTTGTATATATATATATATATATATATATATATATATATATATATATATGATAATTTATTGTATAGTCCAAATTTGGATTCTAAATTTAACAGTCAGATAGGTAATTATTCATAACTTACGGGTCAATATTAGCTTGGACGATAATGGAATAATCAATTTTTGTAGAAGAATACATAGTTCAACTACTTAATTTTGTTATATGGATAGTTTATACAAAAATAATTTTAGTTTAACTAATGAAACGCTATAAATTTTATAATTATACTTATTATTTACATATATTTTTAAATATATGATAAAATTTTATTAAATAATTATTTTATATAATTACATTGTAGTCAATCAGATTTCTGAATAAAAATTTTAAAATGATACTTATTTTGAAATGAATACATTGTAATTTATTATTAGTTATGTGCACCGTATGCGTTGTGTACTAATTTTAAATATACCCATTTTATATACTTCTGCACAATTTAAATTTTATATAATATTTTTAATAAATTAATATAAATAAATTGTATTACACATTGATTCTATATTTTTTATTTATAAATATTATTTAATGAGTATTTTTAATTTATAAACATTGTTGAATATTTCTTAGCACATGATTCTTACTAGTCGATTTTCTAGTTGATTTTGTGAAGAGTTCACAACCTAGGAGGAGAGAAAAAAATACACGAGTGATAAGAGGTGGGCACGCAGCCCACAAGTTCACAACCTTTTCCAAATATCTCTCTCTCTCGATTTAGGTTTACATATTTGTTTTTCGCAATCTTGGTTTTCGTTGTTTTTGGGTTCCGGTGAGTTTCTTTTGAGTCTGAATTTTCCCTTCTTCCATTCGCAGATAATAAGATGATATCATACTCAATTCAGGTTTGATTCCTTCCTTTGTGTTTGTTTGTTTTGATTTCAATTATACTCAAACTTTGTGTGTGTTTGTTTTATTCTGCCCTACGGCCGGGTAAATGGGTCGGTCCATAGGGGCTTCCGAGTCAGTTTCTGGTACTAAAATCCCTTTGATATTGATGTAATAGCGCTCGTCCTTGTCCCTAGTGCTATAATCTAACCGACCGAGCCGAGTTTGAAAGCTGGTGTTCATTTACATTCGAACACTTTGTATTTGTATTTGATCTCGAAAATAAAATAAAACTCGAGCTCCTGGACGATCGATTATTAAATGAACCTAAATTTTTGTTCGAACTCGGCTAACGTTCGATTCTTTAACAGCCCTGCTTGCTACTTGTGCCTCTTGGTTTTTTACAGCTTTTATATGAGTAAAAAAATCCCTGTTTTTTCCTCTTTTTGATGTCCGTATTTCCTGAATTCATTAAAGAGTTGTATCAAAACATTTTTTTTTTTTTTTTTTTGTTTCTACTATTCAGTGATGTAATAGAAACTTGTAAAAATGTCATGGCTTAATAGAAAGTTTCTGTTAAATTGAAGATTAGATTCTTCAAATTTATGCAAAAAGAATCGAAATACAAAAAGTACAAAAGTTATTATGTGAGTAATAGAAGCTCGTGAAAATGCCATGACTCAAATATGAAGTTCTTCCCCGCTTCTCCCACTTGCTTTTTCCACTAATTTTCCTGAAAAAAGTCCTTAGGTTACTATGCAAAGAATATTGATTAGTAGGGAAGGCTTAAGAAAGTGTTTTTCTCTCTCGTACTGGCTTGGGATGATTTTTCATTAATCAAGGAAAATAGAAATAGTCTTACTCCATTTGTTCGGCGCTTTCGTTTGCTTTCAATACAAAAATCTATTACAAAAACACAACATTCTTACATGAGCATTCTGTCCCAATATTACTTCAATTTGCTCACATATTCTACAACATTTTACCCGGAATCTGTCTTATTTTCTAAACGTCATCGTGGGCTGAAAAAATGAAAAAATAAAATGAGCAGAGAAAAAATTATTTTCTCAAATGAAAAAATAAAATGAGCAGAGAAAAAGTTAAAAATAAAATAAAATGAGCAAAGAAAAAGATTAAGCGGGTTTAATGATAAAATAAAATGAGCAAAGAAAAAGATTAAGCGGGTTTAATGATAACTCGATGCTCTAACGCTTGATGAGTCCACATAATCAAAATTCTCTCTTCACCCTTCTTTACCAGAACGCCTACTTTAGTGTAATATTTCATACGACGCCTGCTTTAGTGTATATTATTCATGCTTGTTTAAATGGCAGAGGAAGGGAAAGAGACTGGTTAGGCACGTTCAGAATGAGCATCATGATCTAAAACAACGTAAGCACATGCCTGAATTAATAAATATTACGCCATCGTACTATACTTGCATTCTTTTTTTTTTCTTTTTTTTTCTTTCTTTTTTATTTTTTTTGGCATTCTAACTACTTACTTTTTCTTCTTGCATATGGCAGTATCCCGTTTTCTTGAAGAAATAGATGAAGACATACTGCTGGAGATATTTATCCGTCTCCCGAATTATCGGTCTGCCATTCTCTTTGGCGCTGTCTGTCACAAGTGGCAGTCTTTAATTAGGCCACATTCCATCAGTAGATTCATATCACATCATAATGAGCACAAGGACCGCTATCCACAACCATGCACAGTCATATTTTGCAGAGCCTATGATTTGGGTTTGCTTAACCCCAATTTTAGTTTCCCACAATTTCAACCAATTTGCAAGCTTTCTTCAGGGGAGTCAATGTCTCTTCTTCGTCAAAACTCGAATAATACTGCTACTAATTATTTGGACTTCTTGCCTTCGCCAATGGCCATAAGAGCATCCTGCAATGATTTATTGCTCGTCTCCCCAAATCTCGACTTCGACTCTCTAACACATCTCTACTACATTTGCAATCCAATAACAAGACAGTTTTATTGGCTCCCGAAGATATCTCCAACTGTTGGGAAATTCTCTAGTGTTGGACAGGCATTAATATGCATGCCTGACAACGAATTTAAGATTGTTGTTCTTGAGGATCCTTGTATTATACGGCCTCCAATTCTGGAAGAAGGTGCAATACCTTACAGCGGTGTTAGGCAGTATGTGTGGATATTTTCTTCCAAGACAGGAAGATGGAAAGGTAAATGCTTGGTATATCCGGATCCCCGTGAACTACAGGGGGATTATTGGGTGGAAATGATTACGTGCCCAATATCTGGGGTCGTGTATTGGTTGGAGCAAGACCTTAGATTGGATAGGGTATTGTCATTAGACTTGCGGAATGAAATTAAAGTCGGCATTGTAGACTTTCCCGATGATTATTGGTGGTACCCTATGTTTGAAATGGATCTACGGAAATGTGAGATCAGAGGTGGAATTAGGGGTGATCATGTCAAAACTCGGATTGGGGTTGTGAGTGGTGAATTGTGGTTGCTACAGTTTGTTTCGACTTCAGTGAAAGGAATGATCAATCTTAAGGTGTGGAGATTAAATAATGGTAGTAAGTGGATTCTTGTTGAGGATAGAAAAAATTTGAAAGATCCCATCAACGAGAAGGAGGAGGAGTTTGTGGGTGGTTTTACTCATCCATTGAATAACGAAGCACTCATTTTGGTGTGGGGTAGAAATATTTTTGAATATAATTTAACGGATGGAACTTTGGAGATATTAGGAGTGCTTCAAGAATATATTAATTTTAGTGACTTTGCGTGGTTTATGGATGAGCGTCTTGTGTGCATTCCTGTGATGCCTCCCACCTGGCCTACCACACTTCCTGCCTCCAAGTCTTTATAGCTTTTTTTCTTTATTCTGCTTTTTATTTATTTATTTTTTTTGTGCCGTCACAAGACTGATTTTATTGGTGGTGCTCACTGCCATAATAGTGTCGTCGTTCTAAGACTCGTGTTTCCTGTTTCTATTTCACTAGTAATCAACCTGTGCATTTGCACAGAAAAGAATATTTTAAAAAAATAACAATATAAAAAAAAAATTATAATTTAATTTATGAAAAAATAATTAAAAAAATAATTCTCAAAATTGATTTTGATCAAGTAATTGTTATGGAAGAGCCGTTACAACTATTTTCTTTATGCTAATACATCCGACCATTTTCAAGAGTGGGTGTGACTTAAAATTTGAATACAATTTTTTTACTCCCATTTTCTTTATGTTAATACATCCGGCCATTTTCATGAGTGGGTGTGACTTAAAATTTGAGTACAATTTTTTAACTCCCTTGATTGGTTTATGTTCATAATTTATGGCATTCAAGTAAGTTATTTTGTAATTTAAAAATGAAATTGAATGTTGAAAATTTTGGAGGGATAATAAAATTTAATGCATGATAATATAATTAAATGTTATGTTGCTCCTCTTTATATATATATATATATATATATAGATATGCATTACTCTTGGCGGTTATTTTTCTGAAATTTGTCTGAGGGATGAATATAATTCACTTGAATTGCTAAATATTTGCATTACATATGGAATTTACAATTGAATTTGACTTTATAAAAACTAGTCCTGGAGTAAGAACCTTGTGAACCATATTTGATGTTATTTTTTTATTGTGTATGATGTTATTTTTAATATCACATGCAGAGCCGGCTTTAAGGTAAAAAATTACGGCACATGCCTAGGGCCTCAACATTTTAGGGGCCTCATATATAGATATATATTTATGTATTATATATTTATATATTTGTGTTGGTTTGGCTCAATCCTTTCACATAAACCCATTTACATAAATTTAAAATTTACTTTATTTTTTCTGTCCGAGCCGAATTTCACTTCACAAAATCAAATGATTCAAACCCCAAATCTCACGTTTAATTGATAAATAATTATCTTCGGTCAAGTATGTCTCAGGATAGATTGAATGGTTTGGCGATGTTATCCATTGAAAAAAAAAATTGGTTATGAAACTTGATTATGGTGACTTGATTGATAGTTTTGTACAACTCAAAAGAAGACGAGAAGGTTGTAAGTTCTTATATTTTAATTTACTTATCTTTCTCAAATTCATTGTATTTTTCGTATTTATTATCGGCAATGTTTATTATATTTGTTCAATAAAAAAAATAAAAATATGAAAATACGATACCGGGCCACTCTTGAATAAATTATCTGGGGCCTCCAAATTTCTGGAGACGGCCCTGATCACATGGTGCTATCATTTTCATAAATGCTAATATAAATTGTGTTGCTATTTTTAACAAAATAGATCCATGTTAAAAATAGCACTAAAACACAATCAATCATATCACTACGTACAACTATAAATAACTGTTCTCACGGTTCTCACTCTATAAATAACTACAAACACAATCAATATATATATATATATATATATATATATATAAGGTCACATTCCGGTGAGAATGGTTTTCAATGAAAGAAATACTCATTTACTATTCACCGCCCCCCCTTTTTACTCTTTTGCCCTTTCTCTCTATCTCTCTAAATTCACGAACTTTTAACGAGCCATTCGAGCTTCCAAAAAATTTCGAAAAAATGTCGAAAAAATTCTACGGCATGGGAAATGATTCTTCTCCGGCAATATATATTTTTTTAATTGTAAATTATTTTTAAATTTTTTTTTTGAAACTGTTGCCGCGTCCGACCGTCTCCTCCGGACGCGGGCGGGCCGTCTGGTCGGCCGGTCTGGTCAGCCCAAAAAACGTACGGCCCCGGCGGCCGTACGTCTTCCCACCTGTTCGTCTTGGGTGACCGGACGGCCCAAAAAACATATATATTAATAATTAGTTGTATTAAAAAAATTATATATATATTTATTAAAAGATATATATATATATATATATATATA